TTATAATTGTACGTACGTCTCATTTTCAATGCCAACAAATGTGAAAAGCAACATATCTTTCAATTTGTTTGTACAGTTATCAGACCGAGGCTGTTCAAACGACGTGAGGGTTTGGTAAACATTAATTTTGTAGAAATCTATATATTTTCAATAAGTTTATTTGTTTACATACCACTTCATTTCATGTTTGCAATCGATTGTTCTTGTTTGTAATCGGAGATTATAAATTAAAACATAAATTATATATATAGTTAGTAATTGTATAAGTTTTATCAACCATGGCATTGACGACAATAATAACTGTATTGTTTTCTCGATCAATGAGCTCCCTGTAAAAAAGTTAATAGGTTTAGGCAGCGTTGAATTTATTTATTTTTTTATTATTTGGAGGGGGAGGTTTCAGAGGTTGATCTCTTGGATTTACAAGAAAAACGCTTAGTGCGTTTATTTACTTGCCCAGAGCCTGTACTTTCTCAAAAATAAGAGGATCTTGCAAATACCATCGATTCCATTTCTCTCTGTTGAAAACAAAAAGCTGTTTGAACATTATATCGGAAATAGCAGTCTAAATAGTGTTACGTGTCTTGTAATTTGTAATTACAGCGGATGACCGTGAGGGCATTCCGGTGTATTGCTATCGCCTAGATTTCCATTACGTAACATTCGTTTTGGGTTTTTAACCGATCTATAAACATGATGAATACGTAGACATCATCAAATGCAAACTAACATTCCTTATCGCTTGTTATAAATTCATTTCTTCGATGAATACTCATCAAATACTTTTTAAAGAAGATACATTAATAATATTAAAATGTTTTGTTATATGTATATACATATAAGTAAAAAATCATTAATATCTATGCACACGCATGCGGAAAAATATCTCAAGAACATTTGCAATCTCAAGGAACGATAACTCTGCATGGATGATTAAACATTTATTGTGGGAAAATACGAATGCCTACTCAAATCCATTCTATTAGAAAATTCGAATTATTACAGAAGAGTGTCCACCACGCAATTGCACTGCACTATTATTAATACAGTAGAATAGAATGATATACAAATGCATGAAAATTATATATACATGTAACTGTAATATACAAGTATTAATATAATATATAACAATAAACCAGAGTATACTGATTTGTATCACTACAATGTAATAGTTATTACGGTGCGGTTGAAATTCCCTATCCACGCACGAACTTGTCCCAGAAAAAAATATATCTGTACATTAACCTCACTTTCAGGTATAGAGATGTGATTTTTTTTCTGAAACAAGTGCTTGTCGGACCATCCAGAAGAACTTGCGGTCATCCGATGTTCAGTACTTCAGTACTTTGATTTTTAATGTTGTTTGAAAATATTTGTTTTCTGTCTGTTGTGCAAATCATCATTATCAATATTTGTAAATTGTTAGACATTGATGATAAGAGGTTTGAATTTTGTATTGAATATTCTTCTTGTCGGTTAGACCGTTACGAATGTCCTTATTTTTTATTTTTCTCTTTGTTTAAATTCAATATTTTTTTTTATCAATGTACCTTCAGGAAACACAGATTTATAAGAAATACCTTGAAAGACCTATAGATTATATGGCCATATATACATTTGTATATGTTCTTTCAACAGATACCATTTGGGTGTACTTACGAAATTTGAGTGTGTATATACATTTTGTACTTACGACATTCGAGTGGGTATACTTACGACATTCGGGTGGGTATACTTATGACTTTCGGGTGGGTATACTTATGACGTTCGAGTGGGTATACTTACGTCATTCGAGTGGGTATACTTAATTAAGACATTCGAGTGGGTATACCAACGACATTTGAGTGGGGTATACTTATGACATTCCAGTGGGTATACCTACGATATTCGAGTGGATAATGTACTTAATACATACGAGTGGGTATACTTACGACATTCGAGCGGGTAAACTTACGACATTTGATTGCGTATACTCACGACATTCGTGCGGGTATACTTCGACACTGGAGTGGGTATACTTACGAGATTCAAGTGCGTATACTTGCGATATTCGAGCAATGTTAAGCACCAATAACGGGTGCGTTTCCTAAGATTTAGATCCTTTAAAGGTGAAATATCTGCCACTTTGGCATGCTTATCTCGAATTAAGATTTACAATAGTATTTTTACGTTTCCTGGTAATCTGCAATGTAAAGCTGATAAAACTATTTAATAATTATGTGACGTCATTATAAATCGTTGTTTGACGTAGTTTACTTTTGGTGTTTATAGAAGTTGATTGTTTGGTTGTTTGTTATGTTTGTTTTTGGTATAAGGGAGATACCATTTGATTTTTATGGGGGGGCTAGGATGAAAAATTTTGTCCTGCAAATTTTTTAAGTTGTAACCTCTGTCCTGCCTATTTATTTTTCGCTCTATTCGGTCCTGCCTTTTTTTTCAAAGTTTACCTAAATTGTCATCCTGACTTTTTTTTTTGCAAGTGTCTCATCCTGCCTTTTTTTTTTTACTCAAAACTCCTGTCCTGCCTATTTTTTTTTTTAAATTACATCATAGCCCCCCCCCCCCCCCCCCCCCCACATAAAATAAAATGGTAGCTCCCTAAAATTGAGAATGAAAATGGGGAATGTGTCAAAGATACAGTCAAACAGCCAGCAATAAACAAACACACAGCAGGTACATGTATGTCCAGTTGATCATAGATACATATCAGTGTTGTACAATCCACCAAATCTAATCCAATTTCAGATGACAAAGGGTCAATACCGGGAAGTTGTAGTATATCAATGCAGGAGACTGAATCTATGAACGTTAGCATACTTTATTTTTCCATCCAACATATGAGCTGCGTCTGATAGAAATCTACCTTATGCAAATGCAAATATACATGTGCATGTATGAGACTTTGATTGATTTTGGAACATTCAAATAATGAAAGATAAATTTTGGTCTGTTTTGTAGGGTTCTTATAACAACTCAATTGTCAAACAGTTAAAGACTTTGCATAGAGATTTTTTAAACCTGAAATAGGATAACAGATGTATTGATATTCATTTGCATAAGTTCGATTTCTATCCGACGCAGCTCTAATATACAGTCAGTTCATAAAACATATTTACAAAACAGAAATCATGGCAACATACATTAACCCGCCGCTACTCGCAGATCGAGATCTGGGCGAACCGGTGCGTCACATGGTCTTCTCTCTTTCTCTACTCTCTTTTTCTTTGCAAAATTAACCTTTATAAAACATGTGACCACGGAAAAGATTAGCGACAGATACCAAAGGGACACTCAAACTCATAAGCAGAAAAAGACAAACAGACAAAACACAAAACACAACATAGAAAAACTAAAGTGACGAACAAGAACCCTCCCAAAAACTGGGGGTGATCTGAGGTGCTCCGGAAGTGTAAGCAGATCCTGCTCCACACGTGGAAACGTTTTGACCAATGAAAATAGAAAAAGGGGCAAAAAACAAGTTTTTTTCCCAAACAATGAAACATATCGAAGCAGATTAAAATATGTCTTAATTAACATTATTCACTCTATATATACAGTTTGTATGTTGACAAGTTAATTTGATAAATTGATAACAATTGTTGTCAAATTCTCACGACTTAACCTTAATCTTAATCCATAAATATCCATAGTAACGCCAACACGGCAAATACATGTCTCTAATAAAATTATTTGAAAAATATCGCAACTCGGAAACTAGGCAATGCTTAAAACGGGGTATTTCGACAAATCGAAGGGGAATTTCGGCAAATTTCGTAGAGTTGATGACCTTCCTCCAATTCGTAAGTTACTTTAATCGGCTTGCCGCAAGATTCTGATAAATAATTCGTCCATTCTTTAAGAAAAAAACGAATTCGATGTAGATAACAAACCATGTATTAAAATGACAAGAGACCCTTTTCAAATCCAAATTTAAAAGTGCAAAATTAAGATGTCTTAATATATTTCCTGTTAGCATGGCCAATGGTCAGTTATGTATAGAGCGAAAAGTTGAAATTATTCTTTTATAAGAAGAAATGGTCGGGTTAATGAATATTATCACTTTTAATATTTGTAGTTATATTAGATTAGGAAATCTTCAAGCTAATATGTGTTCGTAATGGAAGGAACACATGATAGAAGGTCTGGATGGGGGACCTTCATTTCTGTATTTTTTGGGCCATTTTTCTCTATTCTTTATAAAGTTTGCCCATTATTCTCTATTCTTTATAAAGTTTGCCCATTATTCTCTATTCTTTATATTTTAGCACCTCATTATTCTCTTTTTTTATTTTTTTTGTCCATCTTTCTCTAATGTTTATATTTTTTGCCTATTATTCTCTATATTCTGTAAACCCCCATCCACACCCTCATGATAGTTATAGAGATTTTATTCAAATTAAATTCAAAATAATTGTATTGTCATTTAAACTATTAAACTAAGTTTCCGACAAATAAAGAAAAGACAAAATTTACTTTGTAACAGTGTTCCATGCGCAAGTATTTTTCTTATGTGGGGGGGGGGGGGGGGGGGGGGCAATTTGTTATTATTTGGAATTTTAGAATTTGTCACCCCATTTGAGAGGAATTCAAAAAATGTTGATCGCTATACAAGTTATACAATCGAAGTGGTATATTTCACACATGTTATTTATATAGATAAAAATCTATTCTTCATTTTTTCTTCCCATCTTTGTTTTAATTCCGCCCGTAGTCACTGAAATATACAAGATTTATCTAGAAGATAATATCAACTTCAACGTTTCAGATTTACGCATTTATTACAAATAAACTATATCTTTTTCCCATTACAAACTCTCATTCATATATTAACCCTCTGACAATTATTAATATTTTCAGGATATTTTTAGAAAAATCGATCTGTACAAATGTCGGAAGATCTTTGAACTATAAATCCAACAGGTAAATTAAAAGGGTAGATAACAAAATATATCTACCTATTCATGCTATTGATTTATACGTACATGTATTTCATAATGTATAAACCATGGTCATGTGTGTTGTGACGTATCTAAGTGTGGTTTTCCGGCCATTTCAACAGAACTGCTTACTACCTGTGACTATTTAAATTTCGTTTCAGGGATTAGACAACCCAGTTTTGTTGTGCACTCATCTCCGGATAAAGCATACGTTTTGTGAGAATATACACAGTTTATTAATCTGGAAACTGAAATGTCTACAGCCAGCACCAAAGGTAAACATATTACATGTTAAGATACAGTTTTTTATTGATTTGTATTTAATATGTAAAGGTAAAAACATAGGGGTGTGGCTTTTAGCTTTGGTGAACAACATCAGCACAGTAAGCTGGTTAGCCCTGGTGAGAGCAAAAATTGGGACAGGGACGATTCCACGAATACTGACTGCGGAAACATTTATAATTTCATACACTTATGATGCGTTAAATGAATCAAATGGTATCGTTTGTAAAATGCTGAAGTTAATATAAAATAAATATATTTCATTTTTATCTGTTGCAGGTTCATGCAAATTCTTAATCCGTTTATAAATACATTTGTCTCGCTGGCTAACTGGCTAAATTAATACACAAATGCACACTAATATTTTTCTTATGCGCTGTACCTAAAAATAGGAAAATATTTCCAGGTTTTTTAAACACATGACATGAATATAACGGTTTGTTTCGGTTTCAATTGATTTGGTTTTTTTGTTTGTTTTTTTTTACTCTCTGTGTTTTTGCTGTTAAAAATAATAGATACAAGTCTAATATTTCTATCAATAAGTCTGTAAATTAATATTATTATATTCAGGACAATCATTATGACTAGATATCACTATCAGTAACTTTTTGCGCACTATGAAATTTACATTAAAATGTGTGTATCTGACAATCGTTTATTTATTCAAATTCAGTTTTAATAATAGTTTGTAACTATTGTCTCTTCAATTTAATTACAGTGATTTTCTCCCTCGTTTCACTCCTCCGAAAATAAAGTTTTTCTTAAGGTTCTTGTGGACCCTTTGGCTAAAATGGATGCGTTTTTACCTCAATATTTACTCTGAGCGTGCATCTGGAAAAGTTTTAATGCGTAGCATGCCCTAGATAAATAAAATTCAAAAACATCTTAATATGTTTAAGAAAATTTAAACCTTAACTGGATTTTGCTGTGCACTTTTTTTCGTCTCTGTAGAAGATGAAAAATTAACAAACAGTTGAGTTTCACTTGATATGGTCCACTCAGTACACAGTTTAAAACACCAATTATTGTCAGGCATCTATTGTCCATCTATTGTCCATGTCAATCAATACAGTTCACTTCAATTATTACCTGTGGGGAAGTTCTCTAACCTCTTTCCCAACTTTGTTTATTTTGGCAACTTCTGGAGGAATGAAAAAAAGTGCACTGCAAAATCCAGTTAAGTTTTGAATTTTCTATTTATATAAGAGAACATTTATTATAATTTTATTTATCTAGAGCATGCTATGTCTTAATTTTTTTCCAGGTACGCAGGTTTGTCTGTCATATGTCTGTACTCAAGAGTAAATTTTGAGGTGAAAATGCAGCCATTTTAGCCAAAGGGTCCACACGAACCTTAACCTGATATCGTAGAAAAAACCAAACACAGTATAGGATTGTGCGGTCGCTACGAGATCGCATTAAATATAACATATTTAACACACTATATACAATCACATACATAAATGTATCAAAATTCACCGTGCCATACACAAGTCGATACGAAATGAGAAAACATATAAGAAGGTTATATTGGGTGGGTGGGTGCGTGGGGAATAGTATACCAAACTAACTACTGTGTCCTTACTATCTTGTAACGAACGTCACATTGGTCAAGCGCGCCTTAAATTTTCTTTATATACTGACCGCCGAAATCGTCCGTGCAGAAAGGAATTCAATGGGTATTACCAGAAGTCTATCACCGATCATTACCCTATCTAATTAAATATTAAAAACCGTTATGTAAAATATAGGACCATAAAAAATTGTAAACATATCGTCCCACACTCGATATATTCCATATATCAGGGGCGGATCCAGGATTTTGGAAAGGGGGGGCGTAGTATGTAAAATTCGCCGAGCGGAGCGAGGCGAAAAAATTTTTTGGACCTTTTTTGGGCTACAAAACATAAAATAAGTGTAAAATGCACATTCTGAGTGACGGTTCCTAACGTAGGGTATGTATATTTTATAGTTAAAGTGTAAGCTTGGGTTGGACATTTTTGATGCCGCATTCTCCCCATTAGTTGTCTATTATAAAATGATTGAATGGATCTAAAGCTATGTACTAATATATTTGATGTGGGATTTGTCAGTAAAAAATGGACATGGAAAATTCTCGTTTGTTGTATGGTTAGTTAGCATAACCTCAAGATTACTTGTTGTAAACATGATATACGGCTATTCAATGAAGTTTATAATACGACCGACACGAACAAAAACAAACAAGCAATTTTTATCCAAATGTTTGGTTGAAATGTTTCACTCAACTAGGGAAGTGAGGGGTTCCAAATCAACCAACGGCTACGAATGAGTCTGAACTTGAATCAAATGACAACGAAGTTGTGAATGACGGTCGACAAATGGAGACATAAAGGCCACACCCAGCAGGCAGGTTGCAGTTGGGCCTTGAAAAAAGTATTCAGTATATCAGTTCGGCGAAACAGACATTCCGGTTAAATATGGGATTTACATGCAACCCCCCCCCCCCCCCCCCCCCCCCCCAAAAAAAAAAAATACGCCCGTTTTTTATTCACCATGTTCATTTAATGCTGAATATTTCTGTTGGATTTTTTTTCTTGTAGCAAAAAAGGGGACACGATAATTGTTTTCATTACAGATATGGCCAGAATTTTTGTTTAGTAAGGCAAAAATCAAGGTCAGAATTTTTTCTCTAAAATATCTGACTGCCCTATCAATCAAATGGTCCGTACCTTAGACTTTAAATATATCTAGAGCTTACTGACTGGGGATCATTATTCAGCAATGTTATTAATTGGCTGGGGCGTGTGGGGTTAAACATATTTTCGTAGGTAAATAATATTGCCGTGGAACATTTTTTTAATGAGAGTGTAATAGAGTATTACTTTCTGTTGAGTGGAAATATGAAATAGAAGTCAAAACGTTCTTGCTCAATCTTTTGTCGCTTTGAAGGCGTGATGCTTGTCATCCTCCGCCTAAGCAATGTGTTACTGTAATTTGAATTTCAAAATGTATGGAAAGCCTCAGCTGTCATATATTAGAGATTTACAAAACGTTATGCTGAAGCTTAAAATGTAAAGTTAAGACAGCGTGATGTTGAATTGAGTCATCAAAATGCAAACTCTAAATTACAATATGCTAAGTTGAATTTGCGCAATGTTGACTTGCAATGACAAGTGCTTTAGTCGTGATAGTACAATGATAAGTCACGATGTTGTGATGATATGCCAAACACAAGTAACGTTCGGTTTAAAGTACATGATGTGAAGTTGACGTTGCATGATGTTAGCTTGCAGATGGATACTGCTCAGTCATCCACATCGACAGCTATGATAACAAATAAAATGAATAGCTAAAATGTATGGTGCTGACTTGTTATTAATAAATGTTGAGCTGAGATAGTACCATGTTATATCATTGTGATATTACGATTGGTCGATCATGCAATCTGTTGATTTAAAACACCATGATGCACAGTTGAAAGTACATGATGTTAAGTTAAGATAACACGATGCTACACCACTATATTGAAACGAAAGGCTTACCATACAATTTGTTGACTTAAAACAACACGATGCAACGTGTTAAGCTAAGATGCTCCCTTGAAACTACACGACGTACAGTTGAAATTTTGTAATGTTTAGCTACGATAGCACGATGTTATATCATTATAATGTCACAATAGGCTTATTATACAATTGCTCATTTAAAACTACATAAAGTACAGTTGAAAGTACGTGATGTTAAGCTAAGATGGCACGTTGTAAAATCATTAGAATGTCACGATAGGCTTACCACACGATATGCTCGTTTAAAACTACACGACGTACAGTTGAAAGTACGTGTTGTTCAGCTAAGACAGCACGATGTTATATCATTATAATGTCACGATAGGCTTGTTATACAATTTGCTCATCTAAAATTACACCACGTACAGCTGAAAGTACGTGATGTTAAGCTAAGATAGCACGTTGTTATATCATTAGAATGTCACGATAGGCGTACCATACAATATGCTCATTTAAAACTACACAACGTACTTTTGAAAGTATGTGATGTTGAGCTATGATAGCACGACGTTATATCATAATAATATCACGATAGGCTTTCCATACAATATGCTAATTCAAAACTACACGACGTACAGTTGAAAGTACGTGTTGTTGAGCTAAGATAGCACGATGTTATATCATCATGACGTTACGAGAGGCTTATCATACAATGTGTTGACTTGAAACTACACGATGTAAATTTGAAGTAGTTTGGTCTTGACTTGAAACAGTAAAATGTTAAGTTATAAAAACAGAACGTAAAGTCAAAATAAAACAATGATAGGATGACATGTACTTGCGCAGAATTGAAGATTTTTGGTGTTGACTTCGAATATAGTACAAATATTAGATCGTTTTATGTTAAATTGAAAGACAATAATGATGCGTAAAACATTACAGAATTATGTGAATAGAAACTGCAATTCTATGGAAAAGAATGAGGGACAAATCCCCAGGATTTTTTCTTCTTCATTTGCAAGTTCGGAGGCAAAATGATATACAAAGAAAGTTTTCCATAAATTCATAAAGCAAAAGAATTACCCATCGCTATATATTACACTTGAATACAGTTTTGCCGTATATTTTACATGTTTTGTTTGGATCTTTTTTTATGACTAAAAACCAGACTTTTTTATGAACAATATTTAAGAAAATATATATCTATATTGTGTGTTAATATATACAACATAATATTATACTTATAAGACTTATGACTGTGAGGGTCAAATTTTACTCATATAAACTCACATCTATGTAAGAGTTATCGGAGAATTTGTATTTACCACTCCCGTTTCCCCGAAATAAAACATAAGAATCTGGAGTCTTAATCTTAAAAAACAAAGATCAACTGATATGACAAAAAATACGCTAAAGCGTAGGACTGAGAGGGTCAGAGCTATATGAGAATGTGACCCCCCCCCCCCCTTTCCGGCCTTGTTAGAGGTATCTGAAAATTTGAATTT